TCGATCGCTGCCCGTTTCCGCGATGGCCTCATGGGCCGCCACTCTGTAGCTTCACATTGTGGATGAATTGACTGACTCAGTTCAGCAGTTCAGTGCAGTTCAGTAAACACACTTTTCCTACCTGCCTGTAAAGAGCCAAGGACTTTGCTACACGTGGGTGAGTGACACAAACCCAACTCTCAAGGAACTTAGAAAAATCTAGGAGTTGTCCCAGGTCAGGACTGGAACCTGCTGACGATTCAGACACTCTGGGAGTACTGGACAAAGAAAGGCAGCTTCTCATATTCTCAATATTTGATACCAGAAACAGAGATGTTAAAAGTGCTTGCTAAGTAGTCCCAGTAAATTCTTATTAAGTGAAAAAAGTAAAGTGAAATTAGAAATGAGTTTTTTTTCTTATTCTAACTTATGAATTGCAAGAATTTTCTAAAATCCTGAGAAAAACATCAAAATTTTTGTCTAATATATGTGTTTTACATAAATACATGTATGAATAAATTTCTTAATTGAGATAGTGATTTTCCCTAAGGAAGATGTATATTTCAGATTTTAAAAACTAGTGGAAACCTGAATGTGTCTCTATTTTTTTTTTTTTAAGCACACTGACAATTTAGCAACATGCCTTACTGGATTTGAAGGGGGAAAGTATTTCTTTACACCTTCCGGAATCCCACAAGCACTGCCTGGGGGCTTAACCAGAAACAGAAAGAAAGATTATATCTTGCATATAAACAGTGTCTATAGATTACTCAAATAGACCAATGCACTTGCTCTTCAAAATAACCCTGGAAAATTAGCTGATTAATGTATCATCTTTGTTTTTAAGATATGCAAAATTGAAGAAAAGTTATTTTTACCAAAATTGCATATACAGCCAGGTCCTCAAACTCTTAATGTTCTTTTTAACATGGCAAATTAGATTGTAGACAATCCTGGTCCCTCATTTCTGGTCCTGCCTACCCTTTTCTTTTCTGACCATTCTTCTTGAACAAAAGCAAGTGAAGCAAAGGTGGCACCTCCTCAGAGAGGAGAGCTTCCGCCTAGAACTCCACCACTTAAAGCATAGCATGGGCCAGGCATGGTGGCACACGCCTGTAATCCCAGCAGTTTGGGAGGCCGAAGCGGGTGGATCACCTGAGGTCAGAAGTTCGAGACAAGCCTGACCAACATGATCAAACCCCATCTCTACTAAATACAAAAAAATTAGCTGGGTGTGATGGTGTGTGCCTGTAACCTCAGCTACTTGGGAGGCTGAGAAGGGAGAATCACTTGAACCTGGGAAGCAGAGGTTGCAGTGAGTTGGTATCATGCCACTGCATTCCAGCCTGGGCGACAGAGCAAGACTCCATCTCAAATAAATAAATAAATAAATAAATAAATAAATAAATAAATAAAGCATAGCCTCATATTCTAGCTAATCGTAATGGGCATCATTACTTCTATTTTCTCAAAATAAAGAAACTGTAATATATTTGTCATCGCATTTGCATTTTGATGACAGCTCAAAGTAAGAATTCGGATAGTTAATAATTAAAGTCAAGTAAAAATAATTAGCTGTCATACACTGAGAGTTTGCTCTGTACTAGGCACAAATAAAAATGCTTTTCCTGAACCTCAATGAAACTTCACAACACACATGTGAAATAGGTAGCACAATTATTCCCATTCTACAGTGGTGGGAACTGAGGCACACAGAGGTTAAGTAACTTGTCTGGAGCCACACAGCCAAAAAGTGGTGAGAGAAGCAGACTCTATGCTCCAGTTCTTAATCTCTACACAGTCCTGAAAGCACCATGCCCAAGGAGCATAGACTAGTAATCGTCAGACATATATCAATATATTAATTTGTACAAATAGGTTGAGACTGAGCCTAAGAACATTTAGGATTAAATAAATGCCTGAGGTCTTTTTTCTCTGCCATGGGGGGGAAAAATGTGTCAGGGAATCTGGGAGCAGAAACGTTCTCTATGCAAATTGAGTTCCACATAAGTTGGAAATGAGAAGGGAGAACTACAGGAGGCTGAGGATGAAAAAGCAGCAGGGACGGGAAAGAGAAGTAGGCCAAGAGAGAAGCCCTGGATTCCATGGCAAGACCCCCTTGCCATTTTAACAGACTCCCTGTTAACAACATTCATCCTGCAATGGCAAGGTGGCAGCCCGGGGGAAGAAGAGTTGAACCCGGCAGGTACTTCTCTCCCTTTTTCAGGGTTACTCTTCCTAGCACAGAAAAACAGTGCTTCTCAGTAATTACTCAACCCCATTCTACACATAGAACCGTTAAAATTTGTTAAAGAAGAATATTACTTCTATCCTCCCACTGGGTATGATTTAAATTCTTAGGAAAAGAGAATATATCATCATCCCTATCAAACATAAAGAAGTTGTATTAGTCCATTCTCACGCTGCATACTGAGACTGAGTAATTTATAAGGAAAAAGTGGTTTGATGGACTCACAGTTAAACATGGTTGGAGAGGCCTCACAATCACGGCAGAAGGCATAGGAGGTGCTAAGGCATGTCTTACATGGCTGCAGGCAAGACAGAATGAGATCCAATTGAAAAGGGAAACCCCTTATACAGCCGTCAGATTTCATGACACTTACCACTACCACGAGAACAGTATGGGGGAATCCACTGCCATGATTCAATTATCTCCCACAGGGTCCCTCCTCCAACACTTGGGAATTATGGGAGCTGCAATTCAAGGTGAGATTTGGGTGGGGACACAGTCAAACCATATCATTTCACCCCGGCCCCTCTCCAATCTTATGTCCTCACATTTCAAAACCAGTCATGCCTTCCCAAAGTCCCCTGAAGTCTTTATTCATTTCAACATTAATTCAAAAGTCCACATTCCAAAGTCTCATCTGAGACAAGGCAAATCTCTTCCATCTATGAGCCTATAAACTCAAAAGCAAGTTAGTTACTTCCTAGGTACAGTGGAGGTAGAGGCATTGGGTAAATACACCCATTCCAAATAGGAGAAATTGTCCAAAACAAAAGGGCTACAGGTCCCATGCAAGTCCAAAATCCAATAGGGCAGTCATTAAGCCTTAAAGTTCCAAAATGGTCTCCTTTGACTCCATGTCTCACATCCAGATCACACTGAAGCAAGAGATAGGTTCCCATGGTCTTGGGCAGCTCTGCCCCTGTGGCTTTGTAGGGTATAGCCCCTCTCCTGGCTGCTTTCACAGGATAGCATTGAGTACTTCTGGCTTTTCCAGGTGCATGGTGCAAACTGTTGGTGGATCTGCCATTCTAGAGTCTGGAGGATGGTGGCCCTCTTCTCACAGCTCCAGTAGGCAGTGCCCCAATGGAGTCTCTTTGTGGGGGCTTTGACCCCATACCTGAAACTTGGTAATTTATAAAGAAAAAGTAGTTTAATTGACTCATAGTTACACATGGCTGAGGAGGCCTCACAATCATGGCAAAAGGATAAAAGCACATCTCACATGCTGACGGGCAAGAGAGAATGAGAGTCAAGGGAAAGGGGGAACCACTTATAAAACCATCAGATCTTGCGAGACTTTTTCACTACCATGAGAACAATATAGGGGAATCCACTGTCCCATGATTCAATTATCTCCCACCAGGTCCTTCCCACAACACACAGAAATACAATTCAAGATGACATTGGGTGGGGACACAGACAAACCATATGAGAAGTGATTGAGAAGTTTCGGAATACAAGCAGCCCAATTTTTGTAACTCCATGCAGGAAAGTTACAAATGACCTATCTATGGTTCTTTCTTTCCCAAGGCCACAAAGGTGTAATACCTTAACATAAGACAACATTCTGGGCCCATGGTGATGTGGTTTGGATCTGTGTCATCACCCAAATCTCATGTTGAAATGTAATCCCCAGTGTTGAAGGTGGGACCTGGTGGGAGGTGATTGTATCATGGAGGCGCATCCCTCATGGATGGTTTATCATCATCCCCCTAGGTGCTGTGAAGTGAGTGAGCTCCCGTGAGATCTAGCTGTTTACAGTGAGTGAGTTCTCATGAGATCTCTTCTTCCTCCTGCCCTGGCCATGGAAAGGGCTCACTCCCCCTTTGGCTTCTGCCATGACTGGAAGCTTCCTGAGACCTCCCCAGAAGCAGAAGCTGCTATGCTTGCTATACAGCCTGCAGAACTGTGAGCCAATTTCTTCTGTTTTTTAAATAAATTACCCAGTCTCAGGTATTTCCTTCCAGCAGTGTGAGGATGGGCTAATACACGTGGTATTGTGTGTTTATGTTTGCTTTTGCATCTTTGTAAAGCAGTTGTTGGGCTTTCCAAAGCATCAGAACACATGATGTGAGCAATCTCATTCAGGAAGGCTCGCAGAGGCAGTGGACAGAGCACACTAGAGATGTATGGATGTTGTGTGTGGTTCCAAAAGTCACTGAGCTGGGATGCCAACAGGACAAGGACCCAAACTGTGCCAAGTCAGAGTTATTGTATCCAGTTATGAGGGGAGCCTGTGGGGAGCCCTGAACCTTCCTTTGAGTGGAGGCTTGAAGCCTGTTCACCTTTGACCTCAAGGAGAACATGGACAACAAGAGCCACAAGAGGATGTGTAGACAAGGCCCATTCATATTTGACTGGCCCAAAGAAATTTGGTATCTTGGTGTTTTGGCCAATGACCATATTGCCATTAAAAAGTTCCACAGATCGTGTACACCCAACACTTCAGATAAGTGCCTGAAATAAATCAGAGTTTACATGAAAACATTGCTTGACATATTTTTTTGGTATGTTTTCTTTTTTCTCTCTTTTTCTTTTTTCAGACAGTCTTCCTTTGTTGCCCAGGCTGAAGGGCAGTGGTCTGATCTCAGCTCACTACAACCTCCGCCTCCTGGGTTCAAGTGATTTTCCTGCCTCAGCCTCCCGAGTAGCTGGGATTACAGGCGCCTGCCACTACACCTGGCTAATTTTTGTATTCTTAGTAGAAACAGGTTTTCACCATGTTAGTCAGGCTGATCTGGAACTCCTGACCTCAGGTGATCTGCCTGCCTCGACCTCCTAAAGTGCTGGGATTACAGGAGTGAGCCACTTGGTCCTGCCAGTGTGTTTTCAATTTTTTGTGCATCCTGGATCATTTTTCAAGTTAACCTTGGTCTCGCCAGTGGCTAAAAAGGAAATCTCAATCCTGCCCTTCCCTGGGAATTGGCCATAGGAGGGGTGCCCTGCTGTCTCTGAATCTCAGCACGTGTGAAACATCAACATGTACAGGCTGAGGACATCCACCACTTGCTCACAGCTGGAAATGTGGCCAGACTGGGCTCCCAGAAAGTGGGGAGGAATGTGTTCATCTCCTTTCTCCATAATCCCTGAATCAACAGAATTTAGAGGGCAGTGACGTACAGTCAGGTGAGGTAGTGTTATCTTCTCATTTAGCACCTCAGTTAGCAGTGGAGTGGAGTCTTCTCACCTCTCCATTCACGTTGGTTATTAGTAAGACTCAACAGATATCCAGCTGTGTCTTTACAGGAGAACAGTGAAAAGTGAAGAAAAAATAAGGGCTAACACTAGGTGTTTACTAGGCCACAGACACTATTCTGAGAGCATTACATCCATGAACTCATAGGGACATCTACCAGTCCTCCCCAAAGAGATCCAGGACTTTAAAGAAAATTCAAGGTAACGTCCAATCTACTATGCTCAGTTCTCTGTGTACATGTCCCCTTGTGTTAGGGTTAGTGGGATACCACCACCTCAGATGATTTAGAGAAAAATTCTAGGAATTCATTTCTAATTAGAGTCATAAAATTTAGATGCCTCTCTAGGTTTAATGTGTTGACTAAAATAATAAGAACTTTCACAGCTTACTATAAGGTAAATCACCACCTTAATCCTAGGAAATAGCTAAATAGTAAAATAAATGAAACCCTTGATGGGGAATAAATGTCATATATGAGCAATGACCTAAAGTCAGGGATAATTCCAGCAGGCCCAAGGCTGGCCTCACAGGGTGGAGGTTACCTTTGGAAGGGAATAGAAAGACAGATTAGGAGAGGCAGATTCAGCCATTATGCAGGTCTTGAAGTTACTGGGATAAGTAACTTCTGACCATCCCTTTTGGGATGAGTAGGCAGTGACTCTGCAAGTGTGTTCAACAGATGACCAATCTGCCCCAGGGTTTCTGGAAGAATCAATTGTATTGACAGCGTTCCTAATTGAAGAGCAGTTATTCTATAGCACAGCTGAATTTGTGTGATCAAACGTAGACACTGGGCAGACTGGCTGGGCTCTTATGCTGCAGGACATAATCCCAGAACATTGCAAAATGGGCACTTTCATACGATTTTATATCGCTAGAGCCTGGCAGTAGAAATGAATCAAACGAAACAGCAGGAACCTGAAAATGTTGTTTGTTCAATTGAAAAGCAGCCTGGAATTTACTCCCACATAGTCTACTCACCTGAAAGCGCAGTCCCGTAATCACCGTGTTTACACTGCCTGTCTGTACTTACATGATACTGCAGCTCATAGCTCAGACCTGCTCACACCCCCAGTACTTCCAGCCCAGCATCCAGGCCCTTTCATCTCCTGTCAATTATCTCTACCTTAGTTTCAACAGCTTAGCAAGCTGAGTTCTTGAGACGCAGAGTGGCTTTATCAGAATAACTCCAAGTGCGCAGAGAACGACAGAGAGACAAGAGGAATGCTTCTCAGACTTACTGGTTTCCTCCAGGGATTTGCTTGACTCTAATTATTGGAAGACCTCCAGGGGCCAAGACTGCCTGGGCTTGTCAAGGGATTCCTCTTTCTACCAGAGGACACCACCACTCAGACACTAAATCAGATGAGAGCTAACATTTTCACAGCAATAAATCTCTGGAACAAAAGAATGAGTTGGAAAACCTTCATTGCATTCTTTTTTGGTGGAAAGAAATTATTTATAAGAACTAAATTAGGTAGAGCAAAAATTTAGTAAATTCTTTTCTACTCCCTATTTTTCTCACTTCTATGCTAGTAAAAGCAAATTCCTTTTATAGTCTGCAATTTCTTTCTTTTGTTTCTGTGTGTGTGCTATTGAGTTATTATTTTCGCTGTGTTGGAAAGTTTTTTCAGAAAACCCTCTTTTAAATATCAGATTTTTAAGTCTAAAATCTGGCATAGAAGATAACAAATGCTTTTGTTTTTAGGTATCACAATACGCTCAGATGTTTTGGGAATATGTGATCACAGTTCCAGGGACAGTTCTTTTAAAAATAATATAAAATCAAGAGAGTTATTTTCAAATTTATGTTCAGTTCTTAGAATCGGGCTTCCTGTAAGGTGGTCTCACCTTTATTCCCCTCTCCAGCTACTCTGACAGTGTGTGCTCAGGTTTGGAGCTCCCTAACTGAAGTCCAGGGCAGAAGAGGGGTACTTGTTTGTCTTCCTCCTCAGAGCGTTTCTCATTCTGTGACAAGAGAGCAAGAGGAAAGCATCAAATTAAATGGACTTATATTAGAGCAAAATTATGTAATACACAACTCAATGCTTAATTTGCATCCAAAGTATTTGTAGCCTTAGAAGACAGTGTGAACCTAAATATTGACAATGAAATACCTGGAAAGAGGTTCATAAAAAGACACTAAAACTCCTGTTAACGTAAATTAAAGGGCATAGATGATGCCTTTCTCAACGGTATGTACAGTTAATCCTCCAGACACCTTATATCCCAGTCCAACCAAAATGTCACAGGTATGTTTGCAAAAACCAAGCTCTCGATTTTGGCAGGGTGGATTTATTAACCATTCTGCCTTTATAGTAACTGATTAATACCATATAAAAAGCAAATCTTTGTGAAAGCAGCACCCAAGTCTGCAAGTCAAATAAGAACACTTATGCCTGTTCCACATCTTTTTAAAATATTTTATTCTCACACTATTGCTTTTCAAGCTATATAATTAAGCAGTAAAATACAATTGGCTTATAGAACAGTTTCCATATAGATAGGTCCCCGACACATACTGTACCAAAATGATCAAATAAAATAGATGGTATTTTAAACTTTTATGATTAACTTTAATTAAGTTTTGCTTGGCTGTCATATAAAAGGTATTTGAAGTATTAATTGCATTTATTTTGTATTTTTCACATTATTATTTCTTAAGAAATAATATTATATTCAGTCAAACCCATGGTTTTATTCAACTGGCGTTCTATTTGCAAATGCATTGCAATATTTATAGAGTCTAATAGAAAAGGATAATATAACAGGCCATTAAAAACTACACTGTATCAGAGACTCCATCTCTGCTAACACCTTGGGTGGGCTGGCATGAAATACAAATTGTGCTATTAAATCCGGAAAGATTTTAAGAAAATCCGGAATGAATTCTAGCTATTCAAGACTAGCTTTAAATGACTTTTAAAAATAAAGAATCAAACATTTAAATAAGTTAAATATCATCTGTTTAACAGATTGATGTCATGTGAATACATTAGAAACCAGAGAATTTCAGAGCCTAAGACTCACTGCCATTCAATACCACTCATGGGTGTATGGGAAGATTGACATCACAGGGACCCAGAACCAAAACTGATGGGGAAATGGGCTTATTTTTAAGGATTTTCTTTTTCAGTTGAGGCAGAGTGAAGCAGAGAAACAATTATTTGTTGTTTCTTTTTGTTTTAGAACTTCACGAAATTCTGTTTATTAAAGCAGCAAGATCATGTCATTATTTTTAAAAATTAAACCTCTTCATAATTCTTTCTTGACCACCTTTGGGCCTTGGGGAGCTGGGGCTTTCCTAGCTCTTTCTCTGGGCTGGCGTCTAAAGCTGGAATTGTGATTATAAAGGAATCAAAAGAACGGCAGGCTACCCCTTGCCAGCCCAAGCTCCTAGAGAAGGATTGCATGGGGAAATCGTTGAAGGAGAGAGAGCTGCTTTGCGATGTCTCTCTGATGGCTCCTTTCTCTAACACTAGACAGACTCACATCTCTTCCCCAGCCCCTCCTCCAGCTATCTGTCCCACACCCTTGACCTCCTAAGACCTAGCTCCCTTCTGCTAAACACTGAGAAGGTGTAAACTGGAGTTAACGTATCTATGATAAAGTTCCATCTGTGATCCTTGCATAGTCAGAAGAGTGGTTTGGGAGCTGGAGTCCACACAGGCCCCCTGCTGTAGCTGACTGGGCTGCACGTAGTAATTCCAAGTGCCAATTCTCATGTTTATGAAGCCAGTAGTGCCCCCCACAGATGTGCAGCACACACCCTACAGCCACACTCAGGTCCCTACCCAGAAACCTGCCTGGGGAAAAACAAATAGAGATGCCTAGAGGGCCAGGCCTCCAGTATTCAAGATGCAACCGAAAAGGCCTGATTTTATATCTTCCCTGCCAGATATTTCCTTTGGACGAAGACTCCACAACGAGAAACGTTTGAATACCAAAAATCCTTTTACGGCCTCAGAGGAATAGCGGAGGGAAGAGTTATGAGGCAGCCAGGGCTCTGAAGTTAGACATTTAGGGATGTAGTTTGGCACCACAGTGCATGAGCTGTGGGGACTGCAGGTGCCATTACTATAGAAACGGAAAACTGCCTTCGCCTCTGAGTAAACAAACGGTGTGTGTGGCCAAAGACAGGGACTCCTTCCGCACATCGCCTCACCAGCAGGTCAGGCCTTCCCTGGATTCTACTCTCAGCCGGGTGCCGAACTGAGGACTGCTGCAGAGCCGGAGAGAGAGGACTCAAGCTGAGCTGGTGGGCTCACACCCATGTCTGAGATATACCTTGCCCCTCTTATAGCAAGCCGTAAATCTCCTATTGTTTGAGTAAATGCTGGATGAGGCAGTTATTTTTCCTCTTGGTCAACCCACAAAGAGGAAAATCAGGCCATTCGCAGTGGCTCATGCCTGTAATTCTAGTGCTTCCAGAGACTGGGGCGGGAAAATCATTTGAGATCAGAAGTTTGAGACAAGCCTGGGCAACACAGTGAGACCTCCTTTCTATAAAAATAAAGAAAAGAGGATAATCAGCTCAAATGTTTCACAAATGAGGACATAGATAAAATAGGAAGTCGGGACATCATCTCTTAGTCAAGTGACTCTCAGGAAGGAAGGAGGCCTGGGAGTTTGCATTCGAACACACACGTGTGTCCTACAAGGACAGGCATAGTGATTGGTACATGGAATATGCTCCTTAGAGGCTGTGGCTGGAGATGGTTGTGGATGACTGGCCTAGTTCCCAGCAGGGGTGGTTGCCTGTTGGATTCTTAAGTCACATTGGGTAGGAATTTGCCTATTTTTATTTAGTAGACAAAACTTGCTGGAAAGGATAAATATTCAGACAGATAGCAATCTACAGACCAATAGAAACTGCCACACAAAGAATGGTCATAAGTCTAAAATTCATTAAATTTAAAAAAGACACAGCATGCATATCGAGTTGAAAGCTAAGAACCATCTCCTCTGTCCAAACACACTTTGTATGGGATATGACATACAAAAACACACAATGATGAACAGTCTTTGTACATTTGCAGTCAACTTTAAGTTTAATACTGGAAGCTTTTTAAATATAAGCACAAATTAGTTTTCAGTCTTCAGTTAGAAAAAAAAAAAAGTAAACAGGTCCAATATGGAAATTCAAGGCAAACAGCAAGAGAGAAGTTCCAAGTGCCAAAGATGGGAGATTCAATAAACAGTCAGCCATCAGTTATCAATAATACCCTGGCATTCATCCTTGGCTCTGGCTACATGCACCCTACATGTTTTATTCATATTGAGTACTGGGATATTATCCTCTTTTAACAACTGAACTATACTTGCCAATTCATTTTTAATCTGTGGATGAGTACAATTCTCCAACTTGTAGAATTTCAGTTTGCCTGTATTTCTACAACTATGACTGTTGAAATTTCTGTATGTTTATTCTCTGCTGTCCCTTAAAGCTTCAAATATTTTCAATACTTCCTACAGGACTAAAAGAAATGAGGCTTCCTATATAAATTGATTGTCAAATTGGTTCAACAATATATCAATTTTATCAATAATATATCAATCTTAGCAAAGAAAATAAAATCCTCTGTCTGCATTTTTAGTGCCCTGTGGATAATTGGCCAGATGAAATCTGAGCCAGGGGTTAGGTAGATTTTGAAATAGGTGAGTTTCCTAGTCTTTTCTTGTGAAAGTAGTTCTCTCATTCTAAATTCCTTAGCTTTGACATAAGAGGCTTCAGAGCCAAAATAAACACATTGTTGATAATGGCGTAGATCACCATTTCTACCTGAATGGAAATTTCAGAATGTTTGAGCCAAAGGTCCCAAACTTTTCTGCAGGCAGTTTCCACACCAGATCCTTAAACCTTGAAACAAGCCTGAGCAAAAGCAGCATCTTTTGTTATTTCCTCTACCTATGTATTTGACTTCACTCTGCTCTAGCATTCGTGAGGCATCACACTGATTCTGGAGGTATGTAACTTGTCCTTTAACCATGCCACCTCTCAATCACATGCCTTCTTTAGTCAAGAAACAGGAGTGGCCAGAACGTTCCCTGTCAGCGTGTGCCTCTCCTCAGAATGGATCAGCTGCAGAGGTTTGGGGTAACCATTTCTCCGGGTCCAGGCCTGTCATTCTGAAGTTGGCTGCCTAAGGAGAATCCGGAAGCTCACTCACAGAGTAATTAAGTGTCAGGGCCAGAAGGTCAGGCAGCATCGTCTTCTCCAGCCAAAACCATTTGGAACCATTGCACTGTGATTTATGATTTCATTGCCTGGCCAACCACTAGGACCCCGGCTCTCTTAACTCATCCAGGCTGCACTCTGAAAAGCTCATCTCTTTCTTTTTAGTGACATCTCTTCATTTGGGGAGTATCACACATTCTCAGCATGCGGCTCACCAATTACGTTGGTTGAAATTACGGATGCTGGCTTGTTGCAATGTCCATAAATTGTGGCTTCCTTCTTATCCCTCTTGGAATAACTTTTACTATAACCTATGAAGGCATTATTGCAGAAAACATTGCAGTAGCATGTCATATTTCAACTACTGATGTATGCTTAGCAGGAGCATTTGAGTGAGCTATTGGCATCTTCTTGTTAAACCAAGTGAAAAACTGGTTACCTGGGCACTCCACAGTTAAAGCCTTCTCCTGAGTTATCCTGCAGATTTCCTCTGAAAGGGAAATGATGATAGAGACCTGTTTTATTCTTGTAACCAACAAACCACAAAATATCTCATTTGTGTTTCTACCTAACTATATCAAAAGGGCGTTGTATACTTTAATGAATACCAGATTGGACAATCAACTCTCAATGGTTCGCATAGTTTTTTACCTCCTCTCTTGCGTCTAATTACTATTTTGTTAATGGGAATAAAAGTATTAAGCTAAAAATGTAAGGGGAAGCTACAAGAAAAACAAGTCAACCTCAGAATTTCCAGAACAAACCTGCTGACACCTTGACTTTAGCCCAAGTGAAAATGATTCTTGACTTCTAGCCTCCACAACTGTAAGAGAATAAATTTGCATTGTTTTAAGTCAGTACATTTGTGGTAATTTGTTACATCAGCAATAGGAAACTAATGCACATTCCTGTTTTCAGAGGTTTTCTTGAGAGTTCCTGTTGATTTGTTGCCTTGCTAGCACTTGATAGTCTCGGTGTTTTCATTTTAGTCATTCTTGTGAGTATATATTTCATTGTAGTCTTAATGTGCTTTTCTCTGTTTAAAGATGAAATTTAACAATGTTTACATATTTAATATCCAAATGTATATCCTCTTTTATAAGGTGCTTATTTATGTTTTTTACCCATTATTCTATTGACTTATCTTTTATTGATTTGTATCTTATTGATTTTCTCTTATTGATTTGCAAGTTCTGTAAATAACCTTTCTTGGTTATATAAATATGAATATAGGTTTGAATAGTGATGTTGATATAAATTTGTAATAATGTCTCTTTACATAACTATCTTTTCGCCCTTGTAAGGTTTATTTTGATGAAAATATATCTTAAATTTGATGTAATTATGAACATCATCTCTTCCTTAATTGTTGAGGAGATTAGGAAATTCTTCCCTGCCTTGAGACCATGAAGAGATGCTTCTATCTTATATTCTGAATGTTTTATGACGTTATTACACTTTTTCTTTTAATCCAACTGGAACTAATTTTGGCTATGTTGTAAGATAAGTGTCAATTTCATTTTTCTTATGCAGGTATTCAATGTTCTTATCATAATTTATTGGGAATCTAGTCATCTCCTTACTTCTATAGTGCTGCTTCCGAGTATGTACGCATATGTTTTTTCATTGAGCTGCTCACATCTGTCCTTTCTTTTACTACATTGCCTTTGTTACTTCAGTTTCACAATAATTCTTGATATTTGTTAGACCAAGTCTTCCCTCTTGATTCTTCCATTTCATGAATGTCTTAGCTATTCTTGGCCCTTTTATATAAAACATATAAATGGCCAGTTTTATGTAAACTTGGGATTTAGCATTTTAAGTTCTACCAAAAACCTATTAGGATTCTTATTGGATTATATTGAATCTATTTGGGAGATCTGATATCTTTAAAACATTGAACCTAGCCAACTTAAATAGATAGGAGATATCTGTCCATTTAATTAAGCCATTTTTAATGGTGATCAATGAAGCTTTATGTTTTCTTTCATTAAAAAGTTATCCCAACAAATGTTAATACTTTTATTGGATTTATTCCTACATTATATAGGAATATATAATAGTGTATGAGATAGGCTAGTGATATTACAGTAAATAGTGTCTGTTTTTTTTAAAAATCAGTAATATTTATTTAAAATTTTATAAATATTTTAATAAAATTCAATACTTACTTTCTAGCCTTAATTTTAAACAATAAATGCCTACCACAATGCTGTAGTTGGGTCTTGAAAGTGCAATCACATCAAATGCAGAACCTTGTTACTATGAGGTTTACCAAATGACTGAGGGAGCTGATGGAGCCAGCAGCTCTACAGGTCAAAGCCAAATGCCTAAGGTGCTATATACAGGCTTGCATTAGCACTGGGACTCGTTGTATCATCAAAATACCGCATATGTTTTTGCAGACCAAATAAATGGGAACCAGTTTGCAGTAACACAAACAAAATAAGCTAGTAATTTTAAATTCTAATTTTCACATGTAGTTAAAGAAATGTAAGTTTCAAAAACAATGGGATTCTATTTTTCACCTAACAATGATAAATGGTTGCCGGAATACAGAAGACAATCCCTCTCGTTGGCTGGTGCCAGTTTTGTAAATTGGTGCAAACATTTTATAGAGCAACTCAGTAATTTATATTAAAATGCAATATGCTCATACCCACTGTCCTGGCAATTCCACTATTAGAATACCACAGATATATTCTTACACATGCACGAAGAGTATGAACAAGGATGCTCAATGCAGCCAAAGTGTTCAGTCTCCCTAAATGAACATCAGTCGGGAGATGCACAGTACTGTGTATTCATATGAAGCATGCTTATGCAGATGAGACTAAGGTAGACCATATTTACAGATAGTAAGTGAATAAAATAAAAAGCAATGAACATAGTATGCTCCTGTGGAGTTTACATTTTTAGAAAAAAAGATGAGATAGACAATGGGTGAGAGTATATTAGTCAGAGTGCTCCAGAGAAACAGAACCAACAGGATACAATAGGATACAGATATATAGAGAGAAAGAAATTGGGATGAGAGGGAAAGAGAGAGATTTTAAATAATGGGCTCATACAATTACGGGGGCTAGTAAGTTCAAAATCTGCAGGTCAAGCCAGTAAGTTGGAAATGCTGGCAGTTGTTCATGTTGCAATCTTGAGTCCAAAGGCAGTCTGGAAGTTGAATTCCTTCTTCTTCTGGGGACTTTTTTCTAAAGTCCTTCAACTGATTAGATGAGACCCACTCACATTATGGAAGGTCATCTGCTTTGCTCAAAGTCTATTGATTTAAACATTAATCACATCTATAAAATACCCTCATAGAAGCATGTAGACTGATATTTTACCAATTAACTGGGTAGCATAGGCTAGCCAAATTGATACATAAAATTAATCATCACGGATAGGTAGACAACTAGATAGACAGGTAAGCAAAAGACATACAGAGAGAAATAAAGAGAGAGAGACAAAAGATAGCTATATATACATATACAGTTAGACGATAGCCCATTAGTTCACTCTCACAGTGCTATAACCAAATACTTGAGACTGGGTAATTTATAAGGAAAAGAGGTTTAATTGGCTTCCCATACTGCAGGCTATCCAGGAAGCACGGTAGCACCTGCTCTGCTTTAATCATGGTGGAAGTTGAAAGTGAAGCAGGTAGACCTTATATGGCTGGGAAAGGACGAAGAGAGACAGAGCGGGCAGGTGCCACATACTTAAACATTCAGATTGTGTGAGAACAGCACCAAAGGAGGAAATCTGCCCCCATGACCCAATCCCCTCCCACAAGGCCCCACCTCTAACACTGAGGATTAAAATTCGATGTGAGATTTGGTATAATCTAGGAGATACGGTATGGCCTGTTGCTCCTGGGCCACAAACCTGTACAGCATGCTACTGTACGGAATACTGTAGTCAACTGCAGCGTCATGAAAAGTATTTGTGATTCTGAAATAAACATATCTAAACAGAAATGATGCAGTAAAAACACAATATGAAAGACAAAAAGAGAAGGTATATCTGTGTGTGGCACTTAGCACAAATGGAGCTTGTGGGACTGGAAGTTGCTCTGGGAGAGGCAGTGAGTGAGTGGTGAGTGAATGTGAAAGCCTAGGACATGACTGTGCCCTACTGCAGACTTTACAAACACCATATACATAGGTGACACTCAATTAATTTTTAACATTTCTTTATTTAATAATAAATTAACCTTAGCTTATGATAACATTTTTACTTTATAAATTTTTAAATTTTTAAAACTTTTAACTCTTTTGTAATAACAGCTTAAAATACATGTTGTACAGCTGTGCAACAATATTTTCTTTTTTAATATCCTTATTCTATAATCTTTTTTCACTTGTAAGACTTTTTTATGTTTTTTTTTTTGTTTGTTCGTTTGTTTTAGTTTTTAAACTGAATTGTTAAATATGAAAACACAAACACACACATTAGCCTAGACCTACCCAAGGTCAGGGTCATCGATATCACCGTCCTCCACCTCCACGTCTTCTCCCACTGGAAGGTCTTCGGGGCAGTAACGCGTATGGAGCTGTCATCTCCTGGGATAACAATGCCTTCCTCTAGATACCTCCTGAAGGACCTGCCTGAGACTGCTTTACAGTGACTTTCTTTTAATAAATAGTGGGAAAATACACTCTAAAATAACAATAAACCAAGTAGTGTGGTAAATACATAAACCAGCAACTAACACAGTCATTTATTATCATTATCAAGTATTAGGCGCTGTATATATTAATAGCTGTATGTGCTAGACTTTTCCATGACTGACAGCACAGTGGGTTTGTTTACACCGGTATCACCACAAACATGTGAGTTGTGCTACAACGGTGCAATGGCTGCAGCACCACTAAGTAATAGGAATTGTTCGGGTCCATTGGAATCTTATGGCACCACTGTTGTATATGTCATTGTATGATGCATGACCGTATAAAGGAACCCTAACCCTCACAATCCCTCAAGGTGAGCATTGTTCCTGCTGTTTTGAGATGGGGAAGCTAAAACATAGAAACCAGTAACTTGTCCAAGATGATGCAGCTAGCAGGGGGCTACGTGGATCCCCTGAGGGACAGCCTGACTTCTGCATCATCTCTGTCTGCTATGTGGCTCCATGTTTGTCCATAGATGGATGCAACAAAGAAACCTGAGAACAGTGGTTGGTGGTGGTGCCGAGGAGCTGGTGCTGAGAGTCTTGGGAAAGGCAGCAGGGGCCTAGGAAGAACATCTCTGTCTGCTACGTGGCTCAATTTTTCGTCTCCTTCCCTTAGAGGTGTGGTTATCAAGGGTAGAATTCTGAAGTCAAATTTATCTATCTTCTTTACTACTGTTTTCTACAGTATTCCCTATAGTTGCATGCTGTACAGATTTGTAGCCCAGGAGCAACAGTAGTAAGGAACAGTAGTAAAGAATAGTAGATTCTAGATAGATAATTCCTGGGCCTACCTTCACAATAATTTGTATTTATAATTTACATTGTTTAATTAGTGATTTCCAAAATCTTGACTGCCTTAAGTATCATTTCGGTTATTCTACTAGAAACATCCAGCTCAGGGATTCTCCACCTTAACCCTATGGACATTTTGGGCCAGATGAGTCTCTGCTGTTGGGGTTGCCCTGGGCCTCACGGGATGTTTTCCCACTGGATACCAGTAGCACTCCCTGGCTCCAAATGGCACAACCAAAGTGTTTGCAGGCATTCCCAAATGTCCCTTGTGGGATGGGGTTGGGGAGTGGTAAAATTGCCCTGCTTGAGAACTACCGAATTCTAACTGGATGTCCTGCCAGCCATTTGACCTAAATTAAAATTTTCCCCCAAACATCCCCTTTTTCTCACTTCCTTATTTCTGTTGTGGGTCTCATCTTTCCTCAGTCATTCAAGCTCAACATGTCTGTGCTATGTCTGACTCAGCCCCCACCCCCATCCTCCACACCCAACCCATCACTAAGACTCACAGCATTGACTTCTACTCCTCCTTCCCTTTCCTATTCACCTTTTAGAGTCTGGCCTCTGTGATCTCACACTAATGCAAATAGCTGTTTTCTGCTCTCCCGATCATTAATTCATCCTATCCAGTGATGATAGATAAGGTTTTCTCCAGGGTAGCTTGTAGTACTTCCCTTCTTTCATCGGAACCTTCGGTGCTTCCCAGTGATAGACCAAATTAAGTATAAATTGCTCACTCTTGCATTTCAGAGCCTCCACCATATGGCACCAACTCCCTTTCCAGTCTCGGTTCACACATCTCCTCTACAAGTACCAACAGGGTGGCTCACCGCTCATCAAAAGTGGGCTATGCATATGCCCCGATGCCTTTTTCTCATGCTGTTACCTCACTTGGTGAGTTCCCGTCCACAGTGTTCTCCTAAAATGCTCACTCTTCTTTCAAAGTCAGTCTGATATTCCACAATATTCACAAATGTTTTTTTCTGGTTGACCCAACAGGATGTATTCACTTTCCCATCTGAATCTCGACAGCTGTTCGTAGTGCCTCTTCTGTCAGGTTACACATCATCCCCTGATACAGCCAGTGTAGTGTTAACAGTATCTGCTTTGCCAGATTGTAATCCTAATGATGGCAGAACTGTGGTCATATTCTTCTTCATACACTCTAGTATTTAGCACAGTTATATGCATTTTAGATGTTCTTAATTATTTGTCTAAATGAGTAATAACAGTGAACTTACCTGCTTACTATCTTAGCACAGTTCCTCACCATTCTTCACTTAAATAATTGGTTTCTCAACTGGTCTTTTGATTCATGTCTCTCCAACCCATTCTCTGCCTGGTACAAAAGTCACTTTCCAAACGCAAGTCTGATCACGCTGACCCTGACTGAGAACTTGGAATGGCTCCCATTGCCTGGAGGATGGGCGCAAACTCCTTAGTGTGGCACACAAAGCCCCCTGTATTCTGGCTACTGTGGTTTGTCTCAGCAGTCCTCCTTCCAACCACATTCTTGCG